GACTCATACTCAAAATGAGTGGTGATCAAGTCCAATCTCGTGTTGAACTTGATCAAAATGGTCGATTAATGTTCATTCCTGGTAGTAATCGATTGCTTATTTATGATGAACCTAATGTATATGAATATAATTTACAAGGTAAGACATGACGGATGTACAACAACTCTAATTCAATCATGCATTCATTCATGGTCACAATCGTTTTTATTAAACTAAGGCGATAAAATTGCTTGGCAAGATATCTCTCAAACAAAATCAGTTGATGTTGGTAGACCCCAACGTAACCCCCAAACTACCGTCAACATATTCGACGTAGGTTAAGCTTTCATCAGCACTAGTAGCTCTATCGACTTTGTTCAATCCTCTGCTCAATTGAATTGAATTGAATAATATTGATTGGTTGCAGCTGATCGAGTTTGTAGGTATAGAAGATTGTAGAAAGTACAGGGAATTAATCAATGGAATACTTGAAGAAGAATCGGCTGCTAAAGATTTGATACACTTCAGATATAGAAAGAAGGATAACACACTCATTCTCTTTCCTGTATGTTGAAAATACCAGTTTGAAGTTTGTATGAAAATGACGGTAGTATTATTTAGAAGAAGATGATGAAAATGAGAATGCTTATTAGCTAACCTAAGAAGTTGTTGAACTGATTTTACAATTACGTTGGAGGTCAATTGGTCGAATTAATTAATTGATTTATTTCAGATATTCTCCTCATCAGCAAGGTGGATAATAACTGTTAACCTTACGACCGGAAAGAAGACTGATCGACTGACATGGAGTGATGATGCTGGTGTTGTGTATGTTGATGATGATTATCTTTATGTTTGGGAAGATGATGAATGTAGCTTGAAAGTAAGCTAGAATAATTTATTTCCATTTAATCTCTATTCTAAAGTGGAACCGTCTATAAATTGACTGTTCAGTTTCATGTCGAAAATAGCCTTGAATGTCGACTTTGACGTCTATTGCAAATGGAGACGACCATTAACGACATTTCCTACTTGAATTTATTGTAGTGTTACAAGTTTGGGGATGGTGAATATCAATTACTGCAAAATATTGACTACCAATGGGAGGAAGGATTAATGTGTAAAATAATGATGAATTCTAACCCTCATAAGATTGAACATTCGCCTCTTCGGATGGAGAAAGAAGAATTAGTTGATGTATGGGGAGAGAAAGATGCCGAAATGATTGCTAATGCAATGGTAAGTCATAATGATCGCAGTGTCAATATGGAAATGAGTTGGAAGGAGGATGACAACGACTGTAATGAGTTGATTATGTAAGGAGCTCTACTCTAGTCCATAGCTGATCGTTACATTCCATTCAATTCATTATAGGGCGTAGAGCATTTTTTGCTACTACTGGAAAATGGAGACCATATAGCAGTAAGACAACGATAACTGGATACAATCAATGTGACGTCGTCATTGTTGAACGTAGGTTGTGCTAATCATAAAATTCAATGCCTATAGATACTCGACCTACGGGGAAATTTACGCATGAAAAGACACAAAGACAATATCAAATACTTCCATCCTTTCACACACACACAATTCTTCAACCATGAAAATCTATGGTCGGACAAGCAGTTAATCCTATATGAAAATCGATCTAGTTTGAATATTTATAACCCCCAAACACTACAGCTACAAATCACTCTACCATTCCCTCACTTCCAGATAGGGGACATGCAATGGAATCTTCAACACTCTCAACTCATCATCAGGAGTGATCAGGATTACTGCTTAGTAACCCACGTGAAAAAGACATGATATTTGCATGAAATGTAAAGTTAATCTTGTATCTTGTACCCAGTGCAATTTAACGAGAGTGACAATAAACTAAGTTAATATTGCTTCCATAATCAATGAAGATGATTGATGTGTATACTGTACAGATGGATAAAATATACCCCCAATGTCAGTAAAACCAATACCCAAAAATAAATATAGCAAAGCATAATTAAAAGTAGTCTATGTCAATGCAATTGCTGAGTTAGTTTAATGTCTATTACAAATCGTAGTCAAAGAGCGACTTGAAAGAGAAAATGAAAACATCCCTAACAAAACATTGGTAAAATAGGAGGAGAACATAAAGATCAACATAGGGATGGAGAAAATGGATTGCAAAATTGCAGCCTATCTATCAGTAAGCATCCCATC